ATGGCCACAGGTACGAGCCCACGGCACATGCATGCGTGTGGTGTTTCACCAATGTGCTTTAGGAGCTCAGTCGGGTGAGCCGTTATGCAAGAAGCCCACAGAGCTCACAAGCAACTCGCAAGTTATCCTCAACGAGTTCTCTCAGCTTGAATGCAACGGCCAGCATCAACACACAATACCGAGCAGCGGCAACGCGCCGGTGGTTCGTTTGTGGCCCCGCACATTCTGTGATAAGTTGGCTAGAGGCATCGAAACCCAGGTGAGAAAGCTCAAATCTCCATCGCAGGAACTGCGAGCTTATCCGTCAGCTGCTGTTGGGCCCGACAATGAGCCAGACACGGCAGAGCCGGAAGATGGGAAGGAGCCATGGCGAAAATGTAAGGGTTGTCTTTGGAGATTGCATCGCAATGACCCGTTGCACACTAGACAGACTGGAGTGTGCAAGTATCCCACTGACAAGCCTTTGGTCTTTGATTGTCCCGGTTGCAAAGCCCGCAGAAATCGGTCAGATGAATCGCACACGTTCGGTCCCGACTGTCGGCATGTGTTGACTCCTCAGCGGCAGAAAGCCACGCAGCGCCGTCCATTTGCAAGGCGCCCGGCTCATCATGAGCCTACTGCAGGCCTGCGGGCATCCAGCCTCGGCCGTCAAGCAGAGCAAAATGCGGAGGAGATTGAAGCAGCAGAGCGACAGCGAAATGCTGCTGCAGAGCCAGCGCGAGGTAGTCGTGATCCAGACCCGCGTGCAGCAGATGACTCACTGCCAGCACCAGCAGTCAGTGCCTCAGCTGGCGAAGCACCGCCAACACCTGGTAGGGGACCGGACCGAGAGCCACGTGAAAGGCGGACATACCAGGATGCACAAGAGCAAACGCCTGTTCCATCTGATTGGACGTCATTCGATGTTCAGTCAACACTCCGCGGCCTCAGACATGGTACTGAGGCAGACAAGAGAAGATTACTGCGTAAGCTGCACATACGGTGGTGGCATGCTTCATCTGAAAAGATGCGCAGGCTGTTGAATGCCGCTGGATTGCCAAAAGAAGTGCTGGATTTGGTGGTGGAAGTGACAGATACGTGCAAGGTGTGCCGCCACTGGGCGCGGCCATCACCGGACGCAAGGCCCTCCTGTCGTATGGTTATAGGCTTTAACATAGAGATAGAGGGTGATTTGATGTTCTACAAGCACAAGAGAGCTCAGCAAATCATCTTGGTACTAGTATGCCGTGGCGTCCGATGGACGACAACTGCCATCATACCAGACAGGCAAACCACGTCTCTTCTGAATGCCATTGACCAAAGTTGGTTCTCTATCTTCGGCCCACCACAGGTGCTGCTTTTCGACGGTGAAACAGGTCTTGACGACGATGAGAGCGGCACTTTCTTCCAGCTTCGCGGCATCACCAAGCGCACGTCGGCGCCGAAGCAGCACACTCGCATAGTCGATCGCAAAATTGCGGTGTTGCGAGACACCCTGCACAAGCTCACGAGCCAACTTGATGAGGAGGGATTGGACATACCATTTGTCCGAATCCTCGGTGATGCAACCTATGCCCTGAACAGCCTGACTTCAATCAACGGCTGTAGTCCCTACACTGCAGTCCTTGGTCGTGTACCCACACTGCTGCCCCAAGATGATGCTGCGTTGTCTGACAATGTTCCTGATGTGTGCTCGCGACACACCTATCGCCTTCGAGAGCTGGCAGTGCAGGCTATTGCCGAGGGCACAGCGCATGACCGCATGCTTCGCGCTCTGAAGTCTCAGACAAGGCCGTCAGGTGAAGAAATGGAGTACAAAGTAGGTCAGCAAGTGGACTGGTTCAGAGATCCTGGCAGTAAGGATGCATCGGGATGGAGGGGCCCAGGCACCGTAGTCGACCTGACCCGACTTGAACATGGCAGAGTCGGTGTCAGGACCAGTACCGATCAAATCATCACATGTCGACTGCAGGACCTTCGTCCCAGCCTAACCTTCTTGTCAACTGAGCTTGCGGAGTTCTTCCACACAGGAGATCCGATTGCACCGCCAGGATGTAATGCACATCGGGCGCAACAATGTGCCCAAGAGTGTGCTGACGCACTCAAGCCGGGAACGGTCCTGACGTTGGGCCGAATCCGCACCAGTGCGGGCGCATGGGTCGAGACCCCGCTCACGGAGCAGCACCGTCACATCCTTCATGCCTGCCTCTTCATAGCCGAAACCGTGTTCAAGATGTCCAGTGTGACCGCAGTGCGAATTGGCAAGGCGGTTCGGGCACTCACGGCACGTGAAGAGTTTGCTGCCACATTGTGTCTTTGGTGGTCATCAGCAGGCTCTCGACAAATCAATTTTCTGCATAGTTTAGAAACCAAGCTTTCCATTGTGAACATGGTCGGGCAACAGTGGCCCGAAGTTCGCTTGATTCAGCTGCTAACTACTGCAGATGAGGATGATTGGGTAGCAACCCAGAAGTGGAGCATTCCAACAGCTCCTGCTGTCCAAGCTTCTGCACAGGAGCAGTCATCTCCTGAGGCTGACGAGACCAACAGTGAAAACCGCCTTTCAACGATTCCTGAAGGATCTGCTGAGAGCGACCCGAGCTTAGTTACATGGCCAGCCCTAGTGGAGATGTTTGGACCAAGCATCAATGAACAGGAAGCCGAATGGCTGCAACAAGCGTACACGGCCATTGCCACTGAAGATGCACCCGAGCGAGATGATCCCGCCACACTGGAAGCGACGGCAGCTGCTGCCGCATCAAGCCAGATGCAATCACCGTGTATCCCAGAATGGCATGAGGCGCAGCCACGAGAGACCATGGCGTATCTCTCAGATGAGCAGCTTGCCTTAAGTCTAGCTGCCAGCAACACAAGTCCTGATGACTATGAGTTGTTAGATGCCGATGAAACAGGGGCATATGTGGCGCTAGAGGTGTATGGTGACTTCTGTAAGACCATAGAGGGATTAAGCAGGCTGCCCAATGCAGATGAGCATGTAGAAATCCGATGCTATGAAGCGCACACGAGGAAGGCCGTCATAGATCGTAGCGATGACCTCCTCACTGCTGAAGAGATCATTCAACATGCAGACGCAGTGACGCAAGCCACGTTGGATGAACTTAAGACATGGCAAGGATTCAATTGCTTCAAGCGCAGACCTCGTGCGCAGGCACCATGTGTGATCGATGCAAAATGGGTGTATAAGTGGAAGTTTGTGAAGGGAGAGCGGCGAATCCGAGCCCGCCTATGCTTGAGAGGATTCAAGGAGACGGGTGCAGATGAGCAGTCGAACTTTGCTGCAACGGCAAGCAGGTTCAGCCAAAGGCTACTGGTTTCTGAGTGTGCGCTCAGGGGTTGGACCCTGGCATCCTCAGACGTCCCTAAAGCATTCCTCCAAGGAGTGAGCTACGCCGAGTTAGCCGAGACAACTCAGCGGCCAATGAGGGATGTTAGTTTTGAAATCAGTGGAGAGGGCCTCGCCTGTCTCCAGCAGCTACCAGGCTTTCAAGACTTCTGCGCACGCAAGGAAGTGCTTCACTGCCTGAAACCGGGCACCGGCTGCAGGGATGCACCACGCTGTTTTAGCTTGAAGCTTCGACAAGTCACTTCGTCGTTTGGGTTTAAGCAGTCATCCGTGGACTCTGAGCTAGAGCTACTGTTCAGGGAGGGAATACTGCTCATGATGATCCTAAAGCACGTTGACGACTTGAAAATGGCGGGGCCAAGGGCCCTGATCAGTCAGTTTGTCGAGCATGTGTCAAAGGTTTTCGGCAAAATGGACATAGATTGGCATGAGTTTGTCTTTTGCGGTGTCAGGCATTGTCAAGACAAAAGTGGAAGCATTGCTTTGGACCAAATGAAGTTCTTGGCAGCATGCCGCCAGATTACTCAGCCAGCAGCCCTTGCTGGTGGTCCATCTGCCGTGCTCCCTGAAGATGCCAGACGCCACTTCCTTTCTTTGCTGATGACAGTTGCCTATGCACTACTCACACGTCCAGATGCAGCTGTGTTTGTTACTGCATTGCAGCGAGAGTCCCACAAAGCTCAGGTTCAGCATGTGAAGAGACTCAACTTGCTCCTTTCTTGGCTACAGGCGAACCCGCGTAAAATTACATACCCGTGTATGGCGTACCCAGATACACTTTTGCAAATCTCCGATTCTTCCTACAAAGCTAAGGCTGAAGATGGGTTGTCGGTTCGGGGTTTGATTAGCGTAAGGGTTTCCTTGGAGGGTGTGAAGCGGGGACGCTCCACTCCATGTCACTTGTTGGACTTTGCAAGCAAATAGCAGCGACATGTGACACGGTCTACTTTCAGCTCAGAACTGTTCGCTGCAACGGACGCTGTGGATGTCGGACTTCTCCATGTCATCGCACTACACGAGCTCAAGTCAGGAGTAATATCAGCAGACCAGGCCAAGGACATCATTGAAGGCAAGATCACGGCCTCAACTGAATTGGGCCTGGTTGTGGATGCGCGCTCAGTGACATCCGCAGTCACTGCTTCCACGGTGAAGGTTCCAGCAGAACCTTCTCTGCTTTTGCACGTGAACTGGCTCCGACAGCTGTTAGTGCGCAAGCGTTTGGGCTCACTGTGGTGGGCCGACACAAGATCAATGATTGCCGACGGCATGACGAAAGGATCAGTCAGTCGTGACCTGATCGCAGCCGTTATGTCTGGTCTATTGGAAATATTCCAGCCGTACGAGCGTCAAAGCATACAGCCTTGAGATGCGTCTCAACCTCAACATCGACCGACTCGTTTTGCATTCACACTCAGGAGTTTCACTCGCAGCCACTGGTTGACCAAGCACGTCTTCGCGAAAAGGCAGATACTGCCGGGCGCCCTGGGCTGGGAGTTCAGGGTCTCTTGAGTCCTTTCTTTCGGGAGTTTCCTCTTTGAACTTTTCTTCTAGTAGGTGGGCACTTAGAGGATCTCTGCGAATAATCCTGCGCTTGAAGAAACGAACAATCTTAAATCCCAAAGACTATCCCGCAGCACATCACGAGACCTGGGTCGAGGCCGCGTCGGACATCGACATCGAAATTGAAGACGCCAGCTCCCTTCTTGCAAGAGCCGAAAATTTTAGCATAGGGGATCTGATGCTAAGGATGAAGTTTCCTTGCGTTTACCCGCTCCAAAAATCTAAGTCTTGAGCCCAGAGCGTACCCACAAACCTACAGGTCGCACGGAAAACAAAAACGCAACATCCTGACCATAAATAGGTAGTTGTCAAAAATAGGATCCCTTTTTGGGTACTCTAAATATTAGGTGACGTATTATAATAGGGACCCAAAGCGGGACCATAATTTTGACAACCACACAAACACATGAAGAACCCGGTGGATGGTGGGGATGGGTTTGACTTGCACGCACGCCTTCTCGACTTGGTGCGCTAGTGTGTGTGCTTTTCAAATCCAGCAAGGGGAGGACAAGGCAACTTCCCCGAACCAGCTTTTCGGGAACTTGTCTTTTCGTCTGAGATTTGTTTTCCGTTTTCACTTCGGATGATGAAGGCCCTAAACCCTCATGCAGGAATTTCAGGGAAAATCCTGACCCTAATTGACAGCATCCTCCTCATAGGGACCCTGGAAAGCGACCGTCAATCTACCTTCAATAATCTGTGCTTTCGTGCCTCTTGTTTTGACACCCCTAAAGGCGGACCACTAAATCCTAAACACCAAAACCGGCAACCTAGGCCTTCAAAATCCCAAAACCGGAAACCCTAAACCCGAAACCCCCGAACTCCAAACCCCAAACCCTAAACCCAACCCAACCCAAGGCTACCCCGAGCCGGACCACGAGCCTTGGGGGCCCTCGGCGGCGGAGTATCCCGAGCCGGCCCTCCGTTTCGAGGCCGAGAGCAGCTCGGCCCCTATTTTTGGAGGTCGGGTGGTTTTGGGTTTCGGGTTTAGAGAGGTCTTAAACTTGTTTTGGGAGGGTTTAGGGTTTAGGGTTTAGGGAAGTCGTAAACTTGTTTTGGGGGTCTAGGGTTTAGGGAAATCGTACACTTGTTTTGGGGGTTTTGGGTTTAGGGTTGAGGGAGGTTGTAAACTTGTTTTTAGGGTTTAGGGAAGTCGTACATTGTTTTTGTGGTTGTTATGGGCTGCTTTAAGGGTTTTGGTAAGGTCTTTCTTGTTTTTCAGGATTTTGGACCCTTGTAGGATTGAGGATCCTAGCAGTGTTTTGCGGCGTATTTTTTGGTTGGTAAGGGCTGCTATACCTTTTTGGTGTTAAGGGTTTGTATTTTTGGGTTTCGGATGCGAGGTTTCTTGGATTTAGGGTTCGGGATGTCGGGCCTCTTGGCACTGGCATTTCAGGCTTCGGATTGCGTGTTGAGATGTTGGGATTTCGTTTTCGTTGGATTTCGGTTGAGGTTTGAGGGTCCAGCGCTTGAGGGTTCAGGAGTGTGTAGCCCGCAAGCCCTTAGGGCCCAAATCTCAAAGCCCTTTGGCCCTGGATCTCTTCAACCGTGAATCTTAAAAGCCCAAACCCGCAACCGCATCTTTGGCACCTAGACCTTGAGATGTCAGTCTTGTTTCAGCCAGAGCCCATCATTAAGGCTGGGATCCCAACTGCTTCGACGTGCGGACGACGGGCTTGTCCTTGGAGTGCAAGGATCTAGGCCGAGCCGGATCGGGTTGCGGCTTCAGGTTTCCTTTCTAAGGAGCTTCCTAAACCCTAAACCCTGGGGTTCTGGAGATTCAGGGGCTGACGACTCTTTTCTGCAGGGGTTTTAAACGTTCTTTTGGAGATTTGGGTTTGAGAGTGCAACCTCCATCAAGCGACCAAAACTCTTCTTCCGTAGGTTCGCATAGAGGTATGGGATTTTCCGAAAATAGGGGACCCTAATACAGTACACTAAATTAGTGGGATCCTTATTATAGGGACTCAAAGTAAGGTACCCCTAATAATCGGAAACTCCCGTATGGTGCACTCCATCTCCACGGTTGGTCTCTGCACGCTTTGCGTTTCGGAGGCCTGAACTGTGAAAGGGACTTAATCAGGCTTAATTGATATTCGCCGCCAAGCGGTCCAGAGACCCGACCCCAACCCTCAAAGCGCAAGACATGTAATCTGGAGGAAGGCGTACGGAATTGAAGCCGGAAGAAGAAGGGGTATAGAGCCCTTTAAGGATCCCTTTAAAGGGAACCCTATTCTAATCATTAAGGCCCTCTAGTATGGCAGAGTGGAAGCTTTAGGGTGCAAACAGGGGCATCCCTAAGCTTTAGGCGCAGGCAGTCGAGGTTCCAAGTTGCAAAGGGGGCATATGTGGGTGGTTGTCAAAATTAAGGTCCCTTTTTCGGTACCCGAAATAATCGGTGCCGTAATATAATAGGGACCCAAAAAGGGACCATCATTTTGACAACCACCTATGTAGGCTTCCAGGGTCAGGCAGCAAGGGATGTTGATTTGCCGTCTTATCTGCCTAAGTTGCATGCCTGGCCCTGCTTTTCATCGTTCGGGATGGGAGATCTTTCTCGAGAGAGTGGGTGGGTGGGGTGTGGTTGAATAGCCTTCGGATCTGTAGGACTTGTCTAGAATCTGAGCCGAAACCGTACTCACGCGGATCCTGACTTGAATGCAGGCCCTCATTGTTTCAAGGGCTCCTCGGCGCCGGCCATCCGCGCGATGTGCGCTTTGGCCACTCAAAGCTCGGCCTCGAGGTTAGTCTTAGGTTCAGGATCGGCGACCCAGCAGAGTCCGGAGACACCAGGATCCTGAAAACAGACTCGGCCGAATCACTCTTGATTAGGGGGGCCTGTGACGCCCCGGAAGTTGCGGTTCCTTATGTTAGTTCGCTTTGGGGTCTATACCATATGCCAAGGCTTGCAGATTTGAGGAAGAAGCCACCGAGCCCTGAAGAACTTCCCTGGCCCCCTCCAGAAACTAATCGTGTTGGGATGCCCCAAATCCGAAACCATATTTAGGGTTTTGGTTTAGGGTTTAGGGTTGAGGGTTTACGGGTTTAGGGGTTTAGGGTTTAGGGTTATATGGCAGTAGCAGTCCCTCCTCAAGGAAGGTCCGAGGTCTCTCCAGTGATGTCCCCTCCTAAGGCCCGCGCGCCTGCAACATCACTTGCGACGATTTCTGTGCCTCGGCCCTGACATGGGAGTCTCCGAAAATTAGGGGTAGCTTATTCTGGGTCCTTCTAATAAGGATCCTACTATTTGGGGTATTATATATCCGGATCCTACTATTTAGGGTACTATATCAGGGTCCCCTATTTTCGGAAACTCCCACATTCATAACCTTCGCCCCAGGCTCGAAGGTCATGGGCCTTTGGGATGGAATCGAGGATTGCAGCTTTCGGCCTTAAAGCCTGAACTCTAGATCCTGGGACCTGAACCCTCCCTGAACCCGAGACTCCGAGCCCTCAACCACGGGCTTTACAGCGGGGAACTTGAAAGGGGTTGGGGAGGAGGGTTTGAGTACGCGGCAGAGGGGCGCAGGTGGCAGACAGAAGCTCAGACAGCATGTCGCTTCGTTCTGTTTCAATTACGCCTTTCTTTTTCTTCCTGTCCTCTTCTTCTCTCTATCTCCTCCTCACTCTTTTTTCGTTCACTGTTTCTCTATCGCTGTCGCTCTCGCTCTTTGCTCGTGCTATCTCTCCCCCCTCCCCCTCTATCGTTCTCTTGTTCCCTATTCGCTGTCCTGCTCCAAACTACTAGTACGTACTCAGAGAAGAGTATCGCACAAGTAGGGGTCACAGTGAGAGCATTGGGAACAACTGTAGTCACCCCACCGGCCACGGCAGAAACCTGAAGATACTCAGCAGGCCTTTACTTCAGTTTTAAAGTGCGCCCAACGATTCATGTTGGACTTGACCCTAGTGCCACTTTTACTTCTCATCTTATACCCGATCCAAAAGGCCAAGTGGTGACCCAAGGTCGCGATCTCGAATTCACGACGTTTCAAGAGCCCGATGGCTCTATGTCACCTGGCGAGTCAACCTGGAGCACCCGTATGGGGACATCCTGACCACACACTGTTGCAAACGTTCGATCGTCAGCAATGGCAATGCCTCAACCGTTTACGCTTTTAGGGCTCTGGGGTGCCACTCGTCGTCGTCGTCGTCGTCGTGCAAGTCGGTCGTTGAAGAGGTGTTAGTAGTGGTGGTGTAGTAGCAGTAGCAGTGGCAGTAGTAGTCGTCGTCGTAGTCGTCGCAATCGTCGTCGTCCTCGTCGTCGTCGTCGTCGTCGTCGTCATTCGTGGTCGTTGTCGCAGCCCCAGTCGTAGTCGTAGTCGTCGTCGTCGTAGCAGGAGCAGTAGCAGTAGCAGCAGCAGCAGGAGCAGCAGCAGCAGGAGCAGCAGCAGGAGGAGGAGTAGTAGTAGTAGGCGGAGGAGGAGGAGCAGGAGGAGGAGCAGCAGCAGCAGCAATGCCGCGGGGCTAAAGACGCTCATGCTACTGCATGTTCGAGAACTGAGCCACACTGCCCGGTGAGGGCTGCAGGGTTAGGGAACAAGATCCCAGGTCCTTGCTCATGCCCTTCACATCACCTTCATCATCATAACTTTTATCGTGATCCCACTAGCAAGCCTTAAGCACTGGAAACCTTTCTACTTGTTGAGAACGCCTTGACGAGCCTGGATGCTCAGGTCCTCATGCCGCCACCTGCGGCTGAACTGCCAGGTGGAGATGTTATTCTAAGCCTTCGGCCGGATTGAGGATTGAGGGTTTTTGCTGCAGGACTTTGGGGTGTAGGGCCCGTATTTATCCAAATTGCTCTGATACATCCCTACAACCTTGACCTCGTCGGTGGCCGCAACGCGACGTGGAAGTCGGTACTTCTTGCAAGACTCGACGCCTTGAAGCGTGCTGTGGCCAGGGCCATATCCAGTATGCTGATAGCAGCAAAAGCAGTAGAGAAACTAGAAGTGACGAGCCACAATCAGAAGTGTCATGATGGCGGGCATCAAACCCTGAGGCTTGAATAGTGAACCTTAGGCGGTTGTTCCTAAAGCTTTAAACCGCGGAGCCCAACCCGCAGAGGACTGGGACAGTGGCGAGCGTGTGCACCGCGGTGGCAGTTAGCATGCTTTCGGGGTAAGACTTAGGTTTAGGGGATTCGGACATTGCATCGCTAAGCAGCTGTGGCGGGGTTGGGTCCAAGGAGCTTGGGAGTCAGTCACTTGGTCGCGCGGCGAACATTGAACATACAAACTAATCGCCAGCACAACTCTTTCTTTCTTTTTCTCTCTCTCTCTCTCTATATATATATCTTCACATATATATAAATATATATATATCTTCACATATCTTCATATATATATATATATATACATATGTATATATATATAACTAGCATTGAGACCTCAGGGCTGGAGAGGTCCGGCTTCTGGGCCCTTGGATTCTCCAGCCTTGCGACGCTTTCGTGACATGCCAGAAGCGCAAGGCAACAAGCCCAAGCTCTTGCTCGGAGCCCTGAACATCGTCGAAGCCGTGGACTCTAAACCGTACCTTTGGTTAGTAGGGAATGGAAGAATGGTAGTAATAGTAGTTATAATTGTACCCCATTCCTCCATTCCCTACTAACCAAAGGTAAGTGCACCGTACATCTGATGTCCCGAATCGCTACGCTCTCAATCTGAAGTCTGGAGCACATGCGGCTAGCACTAAAGTCTCATCCTGATCGAGGTTGGTCAAAAATTCACGGTTCCCTTCTCAAAGCGCACGCGATGCGGTTGAGGGGCCAGGGCAGGGTATTTGGTTTTCTACAACGCAGACCGGTTTCAGAGGTCCGACTGCGCGAGACCGGTCTTTGCGTAGGTATTTTTGTGTGGCCAAATGCCAAATCCCAAGCCATGTGGGCCAAACTTGCCTAGACCTTCAAGCGACACAGCGTTGTCCCAGGCATTGTCGCCGTCCCGGGGTTTTGGGCTTAGCGTACCGGTTAGGTTTCGTTGTCTGTGATGTCTTAGTCTTCCCTCGATCTTACAACCCTCAACCCCAAACCCTACATGCCTCCGAGCTCTGAAACCCCAAATCCAAAACCCAAAACCTAGAAAAAACACAAAAACCTTAAACCTTTGAACCCTGAACCTTAAAAGCCGGAAGCCCTTTTTGAGCCTCCCGCTGCAAAGAGGCGCCGAATCTGCCCAGTGACCTGTGGGATCTGCCCGGGAGCACCACTCTCACCACCCGGGCTTGAGGAAGAGGCCGTCTTAGGGTGTTGGGTTCGGGGTTTTTTTGGACTTCGGGTTCAGGGTTTAGGGTCTAAGGTTTTTGGCTTCGGAGCTTGGGTTTGGGGTTTCGGGTGTAGGGTCGAAGATAGCCGGCAGATCTAGAGGGGTTTGATAGTCTACATATGGGCTTCGGGGGGTTACAATCCAAGGAGTTCATCGGGCTTGTGCTTGTCATATGGGTTTCAGGGTTTCGGATTTCAAGGGCTTAGCCACAAAGCAGGAAGATATCTATTGACTTCAAGGCAGAATGGCCGAGCATGTAGGAACGGTCTGATATTTTCGGGGCTGCGATTCAGGCTTCAAGTTGTCGGCAAGACCAAGCCCTGCACCATGTTCCTGCTTGGGCATTGAATTTTCGACAAGTTGCAGTGCAAAGCAGGCAAACCTTAAAGTCTAGACCCAAAGCACTCATGGCACCCTTCAGCCCAAACCGTAAATCCCACGATAAAATCCTCAACCCTAAATCCTAAACCCTTAAACCCAAAACCCTAAACCCCTAAACCCTAAACCCCTAAACCCTAAACCCTTAAACCCAAAACCCCAAACCCCCTAAAACCTAACGCCTAAAGCCAGAACCCCAGAGCCCAGCAGCGATGGAACTTTGGCCCCGACCCGAACACCCCAAGGGTAAAAGGAGGGGCCCTTAATAAGGACCCTAGGTATATACCCTTAAGGGTTTAGGGTTTAGGGTTTAGGGTTTAGGATAAGGACCCCTAGGTATATACCCTTAATATAGCTAAGATTTACCCATTATGTAGCCCATTATAGGGTCGGGGTCCCCATCAAGGGTCCCTCCTTTTCCCCTTTGAACCCCCGAGGCGATCTTCCGGCTCTTGACGAACGGCGACTCCGGCTTCGATGTGCCGCATTTGTTCGTTTTACAAGTGACTTTTTGGTTTTTAGTTATATAACTATTAAGAGTGACTATGGCCCTTTTTTGCTGGAGATGTGGCTTCTGTTTTTTCTCATGTCTGAGACTATTGTTTCTTTCGGGTTTCATAGTTTTGTTTGCTTTGGGCGGCATTGGGGTAAAGGGTTTTGGAAGGTTGCTCACGGTCAGCGGCTTTTCCGGTGCATTTCTTGATATTCGGGGCCCCTGAATCTTTGGATCCTTCTTCGACGTTTTGGGTCCAAGGTTCAGGTGTTTTTGAGTTTAAGGCTTCGGGTCTGTAGCTTCGCCGTTTCGAGGTGGGGATCCAGGGTTAGAGTTCGTGGTGTAGGGTTTTGTGTTCAGGTTGTGGTTAAGGGTTTGGGGAGTTTTAGGGGGGGGGGTATCCGGGTTCCTGTTCTTAAATGAAAGAACCCCACTCCTGATAAAAGAGTTTGTGTTGGAGGCTTCTTGGATACCGAGCTTAGGGATTGCAAACCTTGGTTTTGTTGTAAGTACGGCAAAAGGTTGTACTGGGCCCAAGTCGGGTGCATGACCCCGTGGTGCCAAGCATGCCGCCAAAGCTACAGGTTTCAGGTTCAGGTTGGGTACGGCCCCCACTCAGTAATAGTTGAATAATATTCATAATACAGATAGATTAGGACCTTAATAGTAGCCCTATTGTAGACTCTTACTGTGTAGGGGCAGTACCTAAGGTTCAGGTTTCTGTCCCGATGCCAAATGTCCCTGTACCCTAAACCTTTGACACTTGCCCTAAATGCCCTAAGCCCTAAGCCCCAAAACTCGCCAAGCCCTAAAGCCAAGCCCCACACCAGGAACCAAAGCATTGGAGCGGGCGCTCCGCTCCACCGGCGCGAAGCCTCCGACGTGCTCGTCTTGTCTTTCGTTGCAGCTTCCGTCTTCTGTGCTTGCCGTGTTCGTAGACATATTTCGGATGATTAGTTTTTTTTGGTCTTTGGCGTGGTGTCGCTTTGCTGTTAAAGCTCGGTTGGGAAGTGTTGCAACGTTCCATGGCTGGACCCCCAAAGCCCCAATCTCCGGACCCCAACCTCATATCCCAAGCGGAACACCGACACCCAAATCCCCACACCAGAATCCCTACACACCAAACCCTAAACCGTAAGCCGCAAGCCCGAAACAATCCGATGTTTCTCGCCTCGGTTCGGGGGTTTTGAAGTCCTGACCCGCTTGGTTGAAGGGTAAGGGTATGCTAATGTGGGAGTTTCCGAAAATAGGGGACCCTAATATAGTACTCTAAATAGTAGGATCCTTATTATAAGGATCCCAATATAAGGTACCCCTAATGTTGGGAAACTCCCATGTAAGGACTACCAGGTGATACTGTGAGTTGCCTTTTTCTACCCTACAGCGTTTGCTTGAAGGTTTGAGGCCCCGGGTCCCCAACCCCACGCCCAAACCCTGAAACACTGAATTGCGGAGATCCTTAACAGAATGGGCGTCGCCAAGGATGCTCCTTTGGCTTTTCTTTCTGCCTAAACAGATTTGTAGTACTGTTAGTATTGTGACAGCTGCTTTGATTTAGGGTTTGGTGGGACTCGCAGGTGGCATCGCAAGGCTCGTCACCGTCGTGGTTTATCGTAGTAGGCCTGGCACGTTCAGCTCCCGTCCTTCGTGGCAGGTACTTGCATCGGATACCACCTATCTTGCACCAGACGTGGAAGACGGATTTGATACCGGCAAAGTACGGCGCCTGATCTTAGACCGGGAGTGTCAGCGGGTAGGACACCCGCATCTAAATCCGAAATAGTAGGATTCTGCATAGAGGTGCTCCTTTTTGCAAGGTACCTCTTGTCCTGGAGCCTGCAATAACCTCAGGGTTCGGACTCGAACCAGAAAGTTGGAAAGGACCTTGAGACTCTTGAGTTCAGTTGCGGTTTATGCCTGGGGGTTTAGGGTTTAGGGTTTAGGGTTTAGGGTATCTGGGCTTGATGCTGATTCCTGATTCTTGTTTATCACCCGCACTCCACATCCTGCTGCTAGATGCCGAAATCCAGATGGGAGTTTCCGAAAATAGGGGACCCTAATGTAGTACCTTGAACAGTAGGATCCTTCTGTTTTATGATAATGGACCCAAATTTTAAATACCCCTAAACTTCGGAAACTCCGCTATTCACTTGCCAAACAGAGCCTGTGTTGGGTTTCTGCGACGTCAGTCGTTGACAGCCACAGAGAACAGCCGTAAGCCCTCAGCCGAAGCTTCAAACCCAAAGTCCTAAACTATTTTTTACCCCATGCCCTACGCTTTGAACCCTGAACCTTATGCGTACCTTAAATCCGTTCCTCGACAGAGCTGCAGACCCTCGGTAGCTCGGAGCTCCCGCAGCTCGAAGCCCTTTTCGAGGAATAGGGAGCGTCTGATGCTTGGGGGGTGGTTACGGCTTTAGAGGTTTGGGTGTAGGGTTTTTGGATTTAGGGCTGAAGCTTGATATTCTCGGCTCACTACCACCCTCAACCCTTAGCTAGGCTGGCTTCTGGGAAGCGACGCGGGCCTTTAACTTTTGGGGTGTGGGGAGGGCCGGCAAGAGCCACGCTTCAACATGAAAAATGCGCCGAACCGTGCCTTTCGGGCATCTCGTTTCAAACTAGCTCCGAACCCCTGAAGTTTCTGCTCAGGTGCTGACATAAGCTCCTGGTTGCGACTCCATCCGACATGGAGCTACGCCGCTCGGCATGGGAATAAGAAGGAATCCTCTTGGGTATTGCTAGCTCAACATCGTTGCTTTGCTGTCTAGGATTTTTATCGTAGTTGCCGCCCCCCCCGCACCAAACTCGAAACGCTAAGCCCTAAGCCCTAGACCCTACACCCCAAGCCCAAAGCCCATTTCCGGGGTCATATTCGGTTTGGAGTAGTGCCCTGCGTGGAAGACAACGCCGGACCCGGCCGTGGGCCTATTTTGGGGCTCCCTATTGTGACAAAAGTATCAGATACCCCATTACTACGCGGCTTGTGTCAAGGCGGTGAGAGGGGTACAGCCTCTGGTCATTCGTCGGAGTTGCAAAGTTTCCGAAGGTGGGGCCTAAACAAGCAACCTCAATCACGCGAATCATCATACAAGGATCCCGAGACGAGGTAATCCAAATTAACGAAGCACGGCTTAGTTTTTGGACCCCCGAAAGGACATGGTTTTTTGGTTTCTGAAGTCTTCGGAGCAGAAGTAGTCCGAACGTGTGATTCCATTCTCGTGTCTTTCAAGTTTCCATCTCCCAACCTGTACGCGTAAACCCAAGCCTGCACCCCGAAACACCAGCCCTGATGTCTGAACCCCGAGCTTTCGTCTTGAGAGTTCAAGCTCGAGGAATTCTGGGACGATGCGCGTGGCGCAGCACTGGTCTTGGACTGTCATGGGGGTTTCCAGGTCACTTTCCAGCCACAGTTCAGCATCCCTGACCGAATCCATGCCGAAACCTTTGAATCGCTATAAGGCCGTTTGCAATCTGTATCGTTCTATCCATATTGCAACTCTTATGGAAACCCAGATCTCCCAAACCTGGAGCTTCAAGACAGGACGCTGAGCTCCACACGGCAAGCCATACATTGCGGGTTGTGCAGCCCGAGTGGTAATTCAACAGAGAGTGTTCACAAGCAGCAGAATTCCCCACCTCTTCACGCAGTCATCCGACTACTCCGCCTCGGAAGCCGGAGCCGACACGATAAAGCTACCTGATCACTTCGGGGGCAACCAGCTACTGTGGCTCTATAATTACTATAATGCCTATCCAAGGGAGGGCAACATCATTTCAAGAATCTCTAGCTCCTTCCAGATGTAAAGGCCCCTAGTCAGGCAAAGCCCTTACTCTTCTGCAAACCTGTCGCATCGGTGGCAAGATCTAGAGGTTCGCAATCAGGTATACAGGTTGCAACTCAAGTCTGGGCCGCGGGAATAGACGTCGCTAGTACAACAGACACAACTTCAAGCTTTAGACTTAAGCACGAAATCACGAAAATCCAAAAACAGACTGTGCGAATGCGGAGCCCTGAGCCCTAAACACGGAAACTTGCTTTCCCAACACCCTCACAACATGTGATGCAAAATCCCGTACCTGCAGGTAGCTTTATGCTAGCAACTTTGTCCTCCAAAGGTAGTTTCCACAACTTCGAGAGATTTGTTTCGGAACCGAAGGCATAAAAATGCGTTTTATGCATCCTGACTGGTATACCCTGGCGGTTGCTCTTGAGCGGCTGGGTGTCATTGACCACTTTCTTTGAGAAGAGTTTCTTGATTTGCTTGTCGTTTCCTTCAGGACGAGTTCCCGGAGTATGCTGCAGCTTTCAAGCAGCCGCCTGTCGGCAGCCAACCCCTCATTGCTCCGACGTTCATTGTATGAATTTAGGGTTATTGATCATGGCTCGAGGCGTTTGACCTTCAGCGTTTGGAGATTTTTCCGAGGTCCCACACCCCAAGTACCCCAACCCAAACCTTAAGCCGCAAACCCTACAGACCTGAAGCCGGCAACCCGAGACCCTAATCCGGTTGGGCTGGCTGGTGCCCAGAGCCAGCGTGGGGTGCTTTTGTTTCGAGCTGTCTGCTGCTTGTGGAAGAGGCCGCTTTGCTTTCCATGGTACGGCGTGAGGTTTAACTTTTGTTGGCTTTTTGGGGTTGATTAAGGTTTAAGTTGAAGGCTAGTTCGGGCTTAGGGTCGAGTAGGGTTGCAGGTTTAGGATTCGGCATCTCGGACCCAGGGATACTGGGTTGCGAGGGGCTTGGGCAGAAAGCCCCAAGGCGAGCTGCCCGAAGCCCAATCTTCAGCCTTAAACTGGGTTCTTGTTTAAGGCATCTTGGTTTAAGTGACCATGATAAGGAAACCATACTATTCAGTATGGATCCCTACTATGGCAGCATAAGCGAAATTCTGTGATAATAACCCAGTAAACCCATGTGCTGTCGCTGGGCCTGCAAGGATGTCCGGGATCAAGCGAGCCGACGTGGTGCGCATCGTCGCCTTGCATGCCCTTTGCTTCAAGCCACAGTTTGGGCCCTTTTGGGTGTAGGTAGGGCTGTTTCCTTAGGACTCTCATCTGACGGTCCGGAAGGGGCCCGAATTCGGAACCAAACCTGTGTTCTCAGAAACCCCGCAAGAACAGGCATTAACTTACGGAGGTCTGCTTGGTATTGGTATGGCTTATGGTACATTCCTGCCTCAGGGCCGAGGGTTTTGGAGTGCTTGCGTTTCGCTCGGTGCGTACGGCTCCTCAACCCCGAGACTACGAGCTCCAGCTCAAATAGGAAAAAATGGGCAGGAAGATACCAAGAGTAGTAACAATAACAATGACAAATAGTAGTAACGATAACAATGAAATTCCAAAAGCCTTGAGCCTTGAAGTCCCAAACCAAGCCTCAATGCCCTACACCCGAAATATTCAGAGAGCTTAAGGAACCCCAAACCCCGGACCCCTAGACCCAGTTTGCCCTGAGCCTGTCTTTGTGCGCCGGCTCACAGCATTTATGCAGGCTTTCAACTGTTTCACAGGGCAGGGCCCGTTGCATCACCGGCATTCACATCAGGAGCGTTCCTTACTAGCGCAAGTCTTTCATCCCTTCATATAATCGAGCCATGGGATGTGCAGGCCGGCTTCTCTTTCTGGGACTTGGGGCCCCCCCCGCTGAGCCATTCATCAAGTTTCGGCCTAATCAGCTTGGGACGGTAGGGTATGGGCTTATTGTACCGTGGAATTGGGGTTTGATTCCGGACAGGGAGCCCGAGAAACGGCCGCCACCTTGAAGCTCTTGCCCTGATGAAGCCTTCACCCAGAAACCCCCGGCACCTTTGTGCCTTTGTTGCTTTGCTGGATTCTTTTGTTTTTTTTGTGTCCAGCTTGTCAAGATCTGTCTTCGGGCTGCTGCTGCTGGGCTATTGTGTCATGTAGTGGTGATGATGGCGTTCATGACAATGGGAATCTCTGTCACTCTTGTAGTGTGATCACAACTCCACGCGTTTAAACTGCTGACCCCTGAACTCCTAATCCCCAGTTTCGTAAGCCCTGATCTCTCAAAGTCTTATGCCCTAAACCACTGCTTCTGCTCCATCCCTTTCTGTTACAGCAACTCTTCGCTCAGAGCTGCGACCCTAAACCCCAAACCCTTAACCCCAAACCCACCCCAAACCCCAAACCCCCTAAACCCTAAACCCAAACCCTAAACCCCAAACCCCAAACCCTGAACCCCAAGCCGTGTGGGCCAGGAAGCCATGCAGATGCCCCAGCGACCACGGCCAAGGCTTCGGCTAGCTCGGCTCGGAGAGCAGACTCTCGGCCGGCAAGCTTCGTTTTTTGGGTTTGGGGTCCAGAGTGTGGGTTTAGGGTGCAGGGTTTTGTAGGGTGTAGGGTTGAGGGTGTAGGGTTTAAGGGGGTGGGATTTAGGGTCTAGGCTTGAAGCTTGCGGGCTATTGCTTTCTGAACGCGCTTTGGTGGTCTTGAATGCAGGGTTTTGCCGTTCAGGGTTTAAATTTAGGGTTACGGCCCAGGGGCTTGAACGTATGTGGAGTGGCTCGCCCAGAGCCAATACGGAAGGCCTTGTGATGACGGTGACAGGAAGTGGTGACACGAAGGTGTGTTCGCAGAAGCATTCGCAATGGCACTCCTGCAGGTGCTAGAATAGCGCTTATCTTCTTTTTCATCAGCTACATGTTGCCCTCTAGCATCCGAAGCAATTAGCAGTAGACAGTCGCCAACAGAGCAGCAGCAGAGAGAGAGAGAGAGAGAGAGAGAGAGAGATTTGTAGTTTGCATGTGTTTGCGAAAGCAGTTAAGGAACCCGGCCATTCTAGAGTCCAATACACTTCGTCTGCCTAAACCGGGGGACTTACTGTGTTCTCACGCCTTCTCACAAGCCCCATAACACATGGGGGGCCTATGAGGCCGGGGGGCCTAAACAGCCCCGAAAGCCTTGCGGAAGAAGATTTGTAGTTATGATTCTGAGGATATGATGTTGTTGCTGATTTTGATGTGGATCCGGATGGCGAGAGTAGGACGAGGAGAATGAAAAGCAACAGTTGTTCATGCCTTCGACCTTAACGTAAGTATATGCACGGTTGTGGGGGCGGGGGCGGAGAGGAACATCCGGAACCCTAAGCCTTTAAATCCGAAGTTCCTAAACCCTAAATTTAGGGCTTAGGGTAAGATGAACCCGCTCTGAAGCCTTAAGCCTGGTAGCCCTATAACCCAAAGCCCTTAACTCGAGAAGCCATGGGCTTTGCTTCCGAGGAGTTATTGCAGCAGCATGGCCACAGCTTGTTCTCTGGATCCTACCTCCAAGCTAAAGCGCAGCTTGAGCACGTGGAGGTTCCACAGGCTCTCTTGGGCTTCGGGTTTCGGAGGTCTGGGGAATAAGGGTTGAAGGCTTTGGTATGTAGGTTTCAGGGATTTAGGCTTAATCCCAAATCGCAGATGAGAACACTAAACCCTCAACTCAAAGCCCGCAATCCTGAACTTTACATTTCTCTAGGCTTTAGGCGGAGGGGTGTTTATGACCTTTTGCTGGCGTCCACGTCGCTGTGGCTCCTCGTTCATGTTGGGCGGGCTTTCCGATCAGGTTTGCGGGTTTATGAGGCCTGCCTGTTTAGGGTTCAGGGATATTAGGGCTGGCATTTATGATGTGCGAATGTTGACAACTACCCAGATGGCCCTGCATGGTGGGACTCCAAGTTCCTGACCCTGCGCCAAACGTCATAGGGACCCTCAGGGGGGTAGGGGACTATACTTCCTTAAGTAGGCCCGCTTTAGTCCTAATTATAGGCATTAAGGCCCCCTACCCCCCCCTCCCCCCCTACCGCCTAATAAGGGTCCTTACGTAAACGGCCGACGCCCACACCACCGGACCAAGCTCCGGCCCTGCATGCTCAAGCCTTGATGGTTAAACTCTCAGCCTCTGTAAGAATACCATGATATTAGTGCATAGGTTTTTTGAAAAAACATAGGTTTTTGTTTTTTTTTAAACCTATGCACTGCGAAGATCGACACCAAGTCGGATTCTCTCTATGGCATTCTCAACACGCGACCAACGGGGCATTGGCCACCCCGACCGGTTCCAAATGAAGTCAAGGGGAGACAAGCGCCGGACACCGCAGCATTGGCCGCCCACGGACAGCGCGAAGCGTCGGCCGTCTTTTTCATGTTCACAATCTCTCCTTTCTGAAACAGTCTTTCTCCGCTCTATATCGAGAGGGTTGCTCGTCTTTCTCCGATTCTCCTTGGTGTCGAGTTCACTAGCCTCTTCCTGCTCCTTGTACTCCAAAACTCCAGTCTCTTTCGAGCGACGTGCTCTTGTTTCACCAGTTTTTGAATTTGTTCATCTTTCTCAAGGTATCCTCTTCGTCAAATTCTGTAGTCTTTTTCCCTGTCGATTGGTTTGCAACTCTTTCTCAAAGTCTCCTTTCTGTTAAATCTCGAGTCCCCTTCGAGCGTTTTGCGCCCTTTCGTGCGTTTTGCTCTCTCTCTTTTTCGAATTTCTCCAATCTCATTGAACGACTGTGCCACTCTTTCTGCACTTTATCCTTTTGTCAAGTGGGAGTTTCCGAAAATGGGGGACCCTAAAATAGTACCCTAAATAGTAGGATCCTTATTGCAAGGACCCCAAAAAAGGTACCCCTAATTTTCGGAAACTCCCAAATTCTCTAGACTCACTGGAGGGGCTTGCTTCTCTGTTGATGTTTTCTAGTCTCCTGCTAGTCCCTTTCGGCTAGTGGTTCTTGTTTCTTCTCGTTCTCAAATCCTCCTTTTTGTCAAGTTCTTGGACTCTTTGAGCACTTTGCTCCTGTGTCTGAAATTTTATATTCACTTCCGGCGTGGTTGCTCCTCTTTCTCATCAAGTCGTTTCACAATCATGCAGAAGCTACAAAAAGCTCTACTCTAACAATCCTACAAAAAGCCCTACTCTAACAGTTCTACACAAAGCCCCCTAAACTTAAAACCCTAAACCCTAAACCTACATCAATACATGCTTGCATAGATGGATGGAGATGTGGAAATAGCAATGAGTATCGTCAGTACTTGTAATAATAATCATCGAAAAGGCTTTAAACCTTAAACCTTAAAGCCTGAAACCCTAAGCCTTAAAACCCTAAACCTAAACCCGAAACTTTAAAACCCTAAACCTTAAACCTTAAGGTTCGTATCTTAAGCAGCTGCAAGGAGGCGACATCGTCTTGGGAGCCGCTGGGACGGGTCTGGTCTTCCGCGGGATTTTAGGGTTTAGGGTTTTATTGTTTAGGGTTTAGGGTTTCAGGGTTTAGGGTTTTAGGGTTTAAGGGTTTAGGGTTTCAGGGTTTATGCTTTTAGGGTTTCAGGGTTTGGGGTTTAGGGTTTTCAATGGTTTAGGGTTTAGGGTTTCAGGGTTTAGGGTTTAGCGTTTTATTGTTTAGGGTTTTTGGGATAGGGTTTCAGGGTTTAGGTTTTCGGTTCATGGTCTATCTGGTGCAGGGCTAGGCTTCTGCGGGCATACCTCTGCTTGTCAGAGCCCAAGCATTGTTTGAGCTACAGCGGTCGCCGTGATAGTACAGGTAGGAGACATGTAGAAATCATACATCAATAGTAGTGTAGTGAAGCACCTTCAGCATCGGCAACAAGCAGTAGTACCAGAGTAATATTTGGAGATTCTAAATCAGAGTAGCCGAAACGATGTGTTTCCTTCATCAACAACAGAAGTGGTACTAACATAAACAGAAGGCCACACCAGAAGGCCACAGTAGCATCCTGCCGCGACGAGAGCAGCAATCACTACGGCAAGGACAGCAATTCTCGACATCATCAACGTGAGCTTGAAGACGTAGTCGTGCTAGCACGAGGCAACTCCTTCACTTGCGTGCATCCCTGCCCCCGGCCTCACGAGAGCTCTAAACCCCTAAACCCTAAACCCCTAAGCCCCTAAACCCTTCAACCTGGGCTTAACCCGGTGTATTCAATGACGCCAGCAAAGTCCATCGCATTTCCCAGGCTAAAGCCCAGGCAGCAGGT